TCATGCCCTGCCAGTTTTAAAAAAAGCTGGGAGCCCACAGCCAGGACAGCTGGCACAGGCTGGCCAAAGGGATATTCCCTACCATATAGTGTCGTGCTCTGGATATGACTTGGGGGAAGCTAGCTGGGAGGCAGGTTGCTGCTTGGAAACAGACTGGGCATTGGGTTTTTGGTTTCTTTTTTTTCTTCCGGACGTGGTGAGCAATTGCATTTGTGCATCACTTGGTTTCTTTTTTTCTTCCGGACGTGGTGAGCAATTCCATTTGTGCATCACTTGTTTTATATGTTAGTAGTAGTAGTATTATTATTCTCGTCCTTTGTTATCCTATGAAACTGTCTTTATCTCAACCCATGAGTGTTTTTTTCCATTGTCCTCCCCTTCCCTTGGAGGGGGGAGGGAGTGAGCCAGCGGCTCTGTGGTGCTGAGTTACCAGCTAGGGTTAAACTATGACACCTGTTCAGACTTATCCCAGGAGCCTCTGCAAAACTTTAGTAGTAGTATTATTATTCTTGTCCTTTGTTATCCTATGAAACTGTCTTTATCTCAACCCATGAGTGTTTTTTTCCATTGTCCTCCCCATCCCCTTGGAGGGGGGAGGAGTGAGCCAGCGGCTCTGTGGTGCTGAGTTACCAGCTAGGGTTAAACTATGACACCTGTTCAGACTTATCCCAGGAGCCTCTGCAAAACTTGCTTGTTTTGACTGAGGCATCTCTTTAATTTCTGTTGCCTTGCAAAACCCTAACAGCTTATTCTGAGACTTTCGTACTTTAAATACTAGATTGTTGTGTGAGAAATCAATCCATAAGGCTCTTGAATCTACTTGTTCTACTTTGTGCTACCCCCGTGTAAGGGTTTTTGTGAAGAATTTCTGTCTGCAAACTCTTACTCTCTGTGGTAACTTAAAGAAGAGTTTAGTAATATGTCAAGCTTCTTTTGCCGACATTAAAATAAGCATAGTTGAAAGTAATTTATTCTGAAGATCTGCAGATTCTTTGTATGTGGGGAAAAACTTAATGAAACTTACGAGCAACTTTGTTGCAGGTTGGAAAATGCTTTCTATGAGCATGCACAAACTTACTATTATACAGAAATACGAAGAGTTAAATCTCATAAGGAGTTCTTGAACAAAACCACTCATCAGGTAATGTTATCCTTTTTTTGAAATACTGTGCAAATTACAGTGGATGTTAAAACAAGAAAATAAGAGTTGTTTGTTGCTAAAATGTTTTTATTGGCCCCCCCCACTTCCAAGTTGAGATACCTTCTCTCAGTATAGAATGTAAATCAGGTTTTATTTTCTGCAACTTAACCTTTTATTTGTTCTTACATTCATTTGTCTTCCTCACATCTTCCTTAGAGGAAGAGCCACAGTCCAAAATTGAAGTTCTGTGATTTAAAAAAAAAATCTATATGGGTTAACCTATTTAAATGTAGTATCTTAACAAGTTGGGGGAAGTGCTTCCCTTAGAAGCTCAGAAGTTAAACTTGCCCTTGATGTAGCTTTTGCTTTTCAAACTGTTGAATATCTGCTCAGACACACAATGTTCTGTTGCAATTGCCAGCTTCACTCTTGGAAACTGGGATTCATGCGGTGAGCTACAAATGAACAGTCGACATTGCTGTTGTAGAGATTTTTGGGGTGTTGTAAAGCCTCTCCCCCATTCCAGGGTAAAAGGCTTGGAATAGATTAAATCTGTTGAAAGATCAGTGCTGCATCACTGTGGCAAAGAGCACTATTAGGAAACAGTTGCATAGTCAGTTTTTCAAGTCAACTGCTACATTATGTAAACCTCTGAAATCATCACCTGTATCTGCTTTGTAGGTAACAGGTATGTTCAGATGTTTGTGAATGATGTACACTGGTTGTGTTTTGCAGCTTTTATTTGTTAGACACCAGTTCAAAATAGCATTCTTCAGTGAGCTGAAACAGGATACGCAGAATGCTCTCAAGTAAGACTCATGTAATCTTCCACCACCTTCTCTTCCCTAAATTACTGCTAAGCCATAGACTATGATAAATATTTTCCCAAATGTTTAAATAATTTTGCATGTAAGGGGTGAGTTCTTTCACTGGAAGAACACTCTGATTGGAAGGCTGTCTTCTGCTGTCAGAAATCCTGTTCTTAAATTATATTATCTTGTATGATTTAACTCTAATTTAAGTATTCCTGCTTAGAAATTACAGAACTGCCTATAATCTTGTGCATGAATTGAGGGCTCATGAAACAAACATGCTGGAAATCAAGACCATGGCAGGATTTATAAACTACAAGGTAACAAGTGTACTTCTAATCTTCGACAACCTTTACTTAAAAAAAAAAAAAAAGTGGACGCATCTTTAATGTGTAAAGGTTTAAAAATTCCATTTTGTATTGCTCTTAAGGAAATGGTTTAGAAACAGCTATCAGTGAAATACCAATTACACTCAGACTTGCAAAGACTTCTGAATTCCACATAAAAAGATGCTTAGCTGAAGTTTGGGAGTATCTTGAAGGACTGGAGTTCATTTGAGATGCAGTCATCTGAAGACTAGGCTCTCTTTAACTCGCACTCTGTGCAGGGGGAATGAAAACAAGGGTTGCTTGTTCCTTGAATGTCTTTTCTCTTCTTGCAAAGCTTAAACCAGTATAGTTCAGCTAGTGCTTGTTAGGAGGAGGAAAGTAACTCTAAGAATCAGACTGTACTTCTGTGGTATTTTGGGGCTTTTACATAAAACAAAACTATCCCACCATTTAAACAATCCTGGAGTTGGACTCCATCAAATTCCATTTGCAGACTGCAGACTTCAAAGATAATGATCTTCCTAGTGGCTCTGCAGTTCTGTCTTGAATTAGGCTGTGAGTTACGCACTCTTCCATTGACTTGACGGAGAAGGGGAGGAAAAATAACATTAGTGGAAATAGAAGACCACATGGTTTCAGGTGTAGTATGTTATGGTTTATATCTGTTTTTCTCCCTCTGTTTTCTATGCTATTTGAGCTCTTCAGAAATATGCCAAGTAAGTATGGGTGGTTTTGTGAGTGGCATTTTTGGGTTGGTTTTTTTTTTTAAAGCTAATCCTTAGCAACCTAACACAGTTTTTTTTTTTTTTCCCCTCTTATTTTGATTTCTTCTAGATCTGTCGCCTCTGTTTTCAGCATAACACTCCACTGGATGCAATTGCTCAGTTCAGGAAACATATTGACTTGTGCAAGAAAAAAATTGGCAGTGCAGAATTGGCTTTTGAGCATGCTGCCTGGATGTCTAAACAGTATGTTTTTGCTTAGTAATGTTTCTGGTTTAGTTCTTATATAACCTTGTGAAGTTCACTGTTATACTTGTCTAGGCAAGATATGAATTCTGAGATATGCTAGATCATAAAAACTGTATGCTGTTATTCTATTTTGCATTGCTTATTGACCACTTCGCTAGATCATAAAAACTGTATGCTATTCTATTTATTATTATTCTATTTTGCATTGCTTATTGACCACTTTTCTCTGGGAATGACCAGGGTATGACACAAATGCAGCTATAGAACTTAGATGCAAAAATTCAGAGAACTATCATCTGTCTTAAGTGTACATTTCAGTTCAAATTGCTGTTCTGTACATAATCTTGGTTATGAATTTTTTTTAATAGGTTTCAGGCTTTTGGTGACCTGTTTGATGAAGCGATTAAGCTGGGATTGACAGCAATTCAAACTCAGAATCCAGGTTTCTATTACCAGCAGGCAGCCTACTATGCACAGGAACGGAAACAACTAGCAAGTATGCTTTGTAACCATGATGTAAGTTGGGAGGGGAGAAAATGCTTTGCAAATAACCAGATAGTAAATTAGCTAATGTTTTAGTCTCAAATAGTAGTGGAATAATCTGCAATATATGTAAATGAAAGCAAGGAAAGGATATGTATTCTTGTGATGCTTACTGATGTTGCAAGTACTTATGTATTGGAAAAGTTCCTCCAGAATAAATTTGTTAGTGTTTATTTTATTACAAGTAATTCTGACACATTTTAAAAATAATTCTAAAAAATAGTATACTTTCTGCATCTCTGGATACTCAAAAACTTAATGTTTTTCTAGTATATTTTTCTATACGTGCACTGTATCTGGTCACTTAGAGGAAGCAGAGGAACAGGAGCATTAGTTTTAGTGTGGGAGAGTGTGTTGTTGGTTTGGGGTTTTTTTGACACTTGCCTGGCACAAAGGGTTGCATGGAAAACTGATCTCTGCAGTCAATTAAACATACATGCTAATTATATGTAGCTACTCTCCAGCTGATATGTCATGATTATTTAAAAATGTCTTTGTTCCTATTGGTGCTGTTTATTTGTTGTTCTTGGATTATCTTGTTAGGAACTAGTTTGAGAAAGGATTACCCAATT